GGCCGTTCGTACCGCAGGCAGCCGGCACGCCGGAGCAGGGCAGGGGCAGCGACGTCGACACCGGCCATACAGGCTTCGACAGCTCGCCTGCTTTTCACCTCACTAAAAGGGCACTGTGGCATCGCCAGGTCTTCGGTAAAATATGGGGAGCTCTACGGGGACCGAGAGCGGCCGGCAGGCTAAGGCACTCCTGCTAAAACACACAGACCTGCTCTTTCCTGTGGCAGCGCACGTACGCAGCAGAGTTATTAAAAAATAAAAAGCTAAAAATAGCGCTTACTAATGCACACTTTTTTTTTTAAAGGAGCCTGCTTTAAATCCTGATCCACATCAGTCATTTTACTTGGTTCGAGCCAGTTAGCCTGCATTTTATAAGAGCGGAGAATTAAATGCAGGTCTTTAAAGCAGCGCGTGCCTAACATCACATACAGCTTGTAATCAAATGCAGTTAACCGGGTTAAGGTAATTAGGAGGGAGGCCCAGTCCGACCCAAGCAATGCTACCTCACCTACTGCACGCCCTGAAGAGAAAAGCGAAAGGGGGACGTAATTTCTCCTGGGGAACACGAGCTTGTTGGACGTCAGCGGGTGTTTAAAGGGCATTTGCTACTTTTAATGTTTAAACCAGGAGTTAAAACCGCAGAGAAGAGCCCCGATGCCACGGGACTCCCCCGCCTCCCCCCGCCGCGGCCCTCAGCGCTACCTCCGCCGGCTGCGCTCCCCCCCTCTCCGCGGTGGTTGGCTCCGCCTCCCTCTCTCGGTTCGGCGGCGCGGCGGTGGACTGCGCGGGCCGGCGGCCGCTCCCGCGCCCGGCGCTGTGGGGAGGAGGCGGCGGCCCGGCCTGGTCCCGGCGTGCGGCCGCGTAGTAGCACTGAGGCTTGGGAAAGGCAAGGAAGTCTCTTCCTTCCCCAAACCACGCGTTTAAAACTCGCAAAGGAAGAGTAAAAAAACGTAAAAACCCCCACACAAACCCCCGGTCTCGGTGGAATGATACGCAAGAGGGTTGCGCTACGGTCCCGAGGGAAACCTTGTCGTTTCCCACCGGTTTCCTTAATGCCGCGTGTGTACTGCACCGAGCAGGCAGGACATGTCGAAACTCCTGCGGTAGACAGTGCGTCATCATGTAGTTCAAGGCCGTCACGCATAGATGCAGGAGGACCTTCAGCACCTTACAGTCTCTTCAGGCCCATTTTATATTCCACCGTAACTAATCCCTCGGCACAGTTCTGCCTGCGCTGTGGTCCCGTGCTCCAGTCCCAGTCCCCGTCTGATCCCCGTTCTGCCATCGGCACACCTCAGGTCGCCGTCCTTTACCAGCTCCCAACTTTGCCATCGCGTTCCTGGATGAAGTGCCCCTCTACACAGAGGCTGAAATGCTGGTAGGGAAGACGGACGTAAACAAGAAGTTGATCACTGACTTTACAGGAGCGTCTTGAAAATGCGTGCCGCAAATATGCCAACAGCACCGATACACAAAAGTAAACTTTGTTGTTAGTGCTTCCAGATGCAGAAACTGTAGAGCATGATCTGAACTGAGACCAAGGTGCTAGCTATGCCTGAGGTGACACATAGGAACAATTAAGTTTTTACTCAAGAAAGACAGTGGCACCATACTTCACATACACGAAGTCCGGGAGTTATGGCAGAGCATAAAATGTGTGCCAAAGTCTCATTAACAAAGACTTGAAGCACGTACTGCAGGAAAACGAAAAAAAAAATACAGATGCCAAAAAGGAGGGAAATGCAACATTTAATAAAGAAAAAATAAACATTTGTGTAATTTTTTTTATTTAATTTCCCTTTAGAAATAGTGTTCCTTGGACATTTAAGGTGTTAGTAATTTGCTAGAAGTTGGCACTTCATTTTCTAATTTTTTCACACCGCTTTGCTACGAGCACTTCCAAAGCATTATTTACAAATACTATACTTACACGCATTATGTACTTATGTTACACACATAGCAACATAGTTAATCTTTAAATTTGAGAGCGCAGCCAACATTAACAGTCACAGGCCTATGTGAAAGGCATGGAAAGAAAGTTAAAAACTGAAGCAGCAGCCAAGGAACATGGCGGCATCTTAAATTAAAATTTTATTGCTTCGGTACCAATTCCACGATTTTGAGGGCTGAATTACTGACTTTTGAACTATGCTAGTAGGAATAATAACCGTGATCTCAGCAAAAGTGAATGACCATGGGTTAAATCTCAGCTTTTGTAAGGGAGAGGTACCATCTTAAAAAAATCATAGAAGCTGAGCAGAGTGAGCTGTCGGAAGCAGACAGGAGAGCTGGAGCATAATGTCAACTAATGATCCTGATTAAAGACCTTTTTTACTTGGAACTTTTTAAATCTTGCATTCTTAGGAAAGGAAAGCCCCACAGACCTTTTTGTCCCAGATTCTCCACGGCAGTTCTTTCACCGATAGCACACACCAGACGTCTAGAAAAGGCAGCGACAGAAGCGAGGGGCTGCTCCCCTCCTTCGGAGGGGCGCGGGCGGCGGGGCGGG